GAGAACTTCACTACAAACAGTTAACTCAAGAATTCCAAACAAAATTTCTAACATATGGAATGATGTATTTTATTCCATTACTTTCTTGCGTATTGTCCACTCTTGTGACCTAGAGGCTTGTTTTCTTAAACAGCAATTTATTGCTACTAGTAATACGGTTTAAAATTTCAAAAATACGATGAAAGATCTTTTTTTGCGAAGGATAATTAATGATTTTGAATCTACTCAAATATAGCTTGCACTGAATTATTCTTGTGTGTGCTTCCTATATAGACTCGTTGGTACTTCAAAGATGAAGGTTGCTGAGTTCGTACTGTCAATTAATAAATCTGAATCTTGTAAACGTTTGCCTTGAGATGTAAAAACTTGTGTCAGATGGTCAGTTCATTGGAGGTATCTTTGATGGAAAACACACATGTTTGAGCATTTATCAGTGAAATCAAAGTTAGGTTCATGAAAATAAACTCCCCCTCTCTGTCTTTCATTCTTTTTTGTCAGTCCTAGAAATTTCTTTACAAGATGTTGTTAACATTACATATGTGCTGTATAGATCATACAGATTGGTCAAATTTTTAACATTCTCTCTTTCTCTCTCTCTCCTTCCTTCACACACAAAAAATCCCATTTACAACTCTACCACTCCTAAATAATTTTTCCACTAAGATAAGTAACAAAATATTTCTTTATATGAAATGCTTCGATCATTTTAACACCTTAAATAAACTTGATACTTTTAAGTAAAGCAACAGGGACAGACAGATGTATGAATGAACAGAAATTATTTTATCAAGGTGTTAATTTTTTATCAATTTAAGTCCATTTAGCATCTGTCATTTACATAATCTTTGTGAACTTACAGACTTACAACAATATGAAAGAAATATTTTTTGTGTGATGTGAAGGTTTCCTTCTCTGTGCATTCATCCACATTAGTGTTTCTTTACACAGGTATATTTACTGCATGATACAACTTTACACAAATCATTTTCAAAAGCTGTCATCACTTTAAATGCACCTCGTACATCAGGTTAACAACTGTGTAATAACCTCTTTTTATAAAACCTGAGAGCTCTGGGCTAAAAGTAACAAATAAAAACTTATATATAGTGAAAAAAGAAAAATGTCATTTTCTATGAAACCTCTTACATCCAGCGGGTATACATTTCTGCACCAAAACACACACAGACAATTTCAAGCCAAGCATGTAGCGAGAATGATGTCAAGGCAGAGAGAATCAAAGAGAGCAACATTTCATCACACATTTTGTAACTGTGAGAGGGTTACCAGATCATTTTATGAATGTAGTATGTGCAGTTTCATGAAACAAGACAAAACTGTGTGCCAGTAAATACACTGTACTATGTGCTAACCAAACTTACACATCTTGGGTTCAACATTTTTTTATGCACAATAAAATTGATATAGATTTTAAATAAATAAATAAAAAAAAAAGCCAGGTATTTTTTTAAAACAAATTTTTGCTTTTCTGTTTTGTTTCAAGGTGTATTTAAACATGCAGCAATAAAAAAAAATGTCAGGGGTTGTCAGACATAATAAACAAGCTATAAATATACACACTTATTGGAATGACTTAGCACACAACTCCATTAGCACCGAGACATAAAGGTAGCATAAAAACAAACTGCATGAAATTGCATTTTTCAGACATCAAAAAAAACCAAAACATACTTAAATATCTTAAAACTTTTAAAGCAGAGCTCAAACTCTAGCTCCTTGTGATGGCAAAATAATGGACCTCTCGGATAACAGTCTATAATGAAATTGGTCTCCATTACATATATTCTTCTAAGCATGGTTGTTATCTCCTGCCGTAAAACTGATGTGCATGTGTGAAAACTGAAGAGGACCCCATCACAAAAACTAGATTACTGGCACCAAAAAGTATGCCAAACACTGGTTCTTATTCACGAGAGGGTAAACCATACATATGCCTTCTCAAACTTATTATTTTTCCATTCTTCTGTGCTCACAATGGCCATGATTTTATGGCAATATTTGATAAGACTTAAAACCTATCAATCTTTCAAACTTCAGTCTCTTTGGCTGGCCTTGATATACATGTTAGAGTTAACATATACTCTAAAAAGGATCAAGTTTTCATGAATTAGCCAACAGTAGCACAGACTACAAGTATGCCTTGGCATAATTTTAAAATCTGGAGACTCAAAGGTATTCCAACAATGTGTTCATCTTAATAGTACAAGCACAAAACTTTAATTTTAAGTTAATTTACCTTTATTGTTTTAAAGGTTTTTATTTTGTGGATTTTGATAAAAGTAAATTGGCTACCTTAACATGTCGTTAAATGCATGTTATGACAGGGTGTACAAAATAAAATTACTTGCTCACAATAAAACCTGCAATAAAACATCAGAACGATGCTGTCTACTTATTTTTAAATTCAAATTTACTAAAACTCTGTGTGTGTCCTTTCAATCAAATACATTGTTCATAAAAAGAGTGGCAGTCTATATGTTTGAACATTTTCAGCCAAGTTTTGCCTTTATTTTATTGTCCAGAGCTTCTACATGCAACAAGAATGGAAAATTTCAAAAGATTTTAAGACTTAAGAAAGTGACATTGATGAGAGCAAAATGTCTCAACAATCCATGTGAACCTGTAAAACAGCCCATTGTATTCACAGCAAAGAAAAGTCAATGCCACATGTATAAGCCATGATGAAAGCATCTGGATTAAACAGTCAAGCTATAACTACAGCCTCCCAAAAATCAGAAACCTTTATAGTGAAAATATGATTCCTCCACGACACCTCCATGTACAAAGCCATCTATACTTCATCTCACTGATCAGAAAAAAAATCTTTCTTACAGACCAATTGTCGATGTTAAGTGCATATAAACTGTTAAGAATTACTACCACATGAGCCAACATATCAACCCACAGAAGTTATGTTTTCTTAATAAAGAATATACATATATTATATCCATACCATATTTCTCATAATATTTATGTACCACCTGCTAAAGATAACCTTCCATTATCAGATATTATCCACAAGGTATTTATAAGCAAAATCTTTTACTATATGGACCCATTCCTACTTCATTTCTTATCAAATTTAGATTATATACTAGACCCATACCTACTTCATTATTTATCAATTTTAGGCTATACACTAGACCCATAACTACTCCATTATTTATCAATTTTAGACTATACACTAGACTCATTCCTGCTTCATTATTTATCAATTTTAGGCTATACACTAGACTCATTCCTACTCCATTATTTATCAAATTTAGGCTATACACTAGACTTATTTCTACTTTATCAAATTTAGGCTATACACTAGACTTATTCCTACTTTATCAATTTTAGGCTATACACTAGACCCATTCCTACTCCATTATTTATCAATTCAAATCATGACATCATCAGAGAACTGGGTATTGAATGTATTTTCTATATCACAATACTTTTGTTTTTCATCTTCAACCTTGATCATTCTATGTGTGGTCATAAAATTATAATCAGAAAAATAGAAATGTCAAGAACTTGTCAAAATAAAAATGAAATGGATTTGAGATTTTCTCTTTGATCTTACTGAAGTGTATCCTGTAATCTACATATTGAAATGCGGCTGTCAAAATCATTTCAAATACATCATAAACACATAGACTGATTAAAGATTTGCAGATGGAATATGTAATAAACATGAGAATTAACCAACATTTTGTTTAGGTTTAAGTAAAACAATTTCTAAAGTTACTGTCTTTATATAAAGAAGTCAAAATTCCCATGACATTTTTGCTTTCTTCAATTAGAAGCGCATTCCCAAACTTTAAACACAGACTTGCATTAATGCATTTTAAAGACTTTTGTTTATTCGCAGAAAAACCTGAGCTGCCAAAATCACACCTCCCAGCTCATACTTCTGTACAATTAATGGGTTTATTTTTCTATTATAAAGTCTTTTTATATTATCCTGGTATGGCAGAAAGTTTTAAGGTGAAGCACAGTCCTAATGCCATCACTTAGATGTGTTAATGTTTTCATAACACTTTTCCCCTTTTCCTTACTGGAAGAACAAACATCCTAAACACCTTGACAACTTTGACAAAAAGTCAGAATCTTCAAAGATCTTACTTACAATAAACTATTTATTCTATTATGTCATTTAGCAAAATACAACAAATTCTTTCATTAGTTTGCAAAACATATTTTGACTTTAAAACACAGACAAACAAACGAAAGGAAAACATCTTTTAGCAGTACATTAGTAAAGTGTAAAAATTTATTCTACGTATTTCTAATCTGTTTCAGCTAACCAGTTCTTTCATTTTTTCATGTATAAACTTGACAGGGTGTTATTAAATTGAAATTTATCAGAGGAGCCCAAACTTCAACTTTGCATTTTTTTCCAACAAAGTAAGGAGTAATCAATATTCATGTCCATGATCTACATTATAAATGAAGGATTTTCTTTTTTTCAAACTTCAAAATTTAATACTCAAATTCAAACCCACCTTAAATTTATTTTCAAAAGCCCAAGTGCATCCCAAACTATGAATTAAGACTCCGAGATCTTGTAACACCTGAATCATTCAAACTGGAGCAGCATTTGCATTGTAAATAACGGCTTAAAAAATAACATTAAAATAATTATTGTAAAAAATGTCCTTGAATTTAGAAACAGATTTGTAAGACGAGGTGACAGAACAAGAGAGCAAAATGAATCATCCTTTCCCACAGTGCTATGACTACTACCACTTTGCAGCCAAAAAACTTGCAAGAATGAAAATGTAACAGGCTTTCCATAGGTGCTGAATAATAATACAATATTTGCTGAATCTGAATTTGATCTCTTTTTCAGCACATCCTCCTTGACCTAATCATTGAGTTTATAAACAGATATTCAGGAAAAAGATCCAACCAAATGTTGTCCCATATTTGTTTGATCACTTAAACTTTAGGTCTATATAAACAATATAAAAACAGTGGCCCAAGTAGGTACTTACAATCTTTGAAGCTTTTTCATTGAAGCAAACAAATTGTCAGGAAGCTCCGTCAGTTCATTTCTGTCTATTCTCCTACAAAGTATGAATTAGAAATTGATATTTAGGACAAAGAAAACGGTCATTGGTAATTACCAATGGCTTATATCTTTTTTATTTTTAAACTTATTAATTCAAAAATATTTCATGTAGATTAAAAAGTTACATGTATTTTAACTTCATTTTTGTTGCATGTTGTATACAAAACTTAGTTTATATAAGCTGTATAATACTGTTTGTGACCAAAAAATACAAATCACCACAATCAGGACAGTATTATTTGTTGACTACCTGTACATCAATAAATGATCCAGTGATAATATGCAATATACTAAACAGCAAAAACATACTTTTTCAGCTATTGGGGATTAGTGAAAAGTATAATTAGCTTTTTATTCTCTCTTATACCAATAATATACAATTTAAGAGTCACTATAAATTCCCTTGCAGTGGTCTTTAACTGATCGTGTCAGGTACTATAGTTGGAATAATAAAATGTCTCCAGTACCGTACTTTCTGTAACAGTGGACATAGTAGGACTAATTCGAAATCACTTTAGAATTAACATACTTTTAATTTACTCAGGTACTTTAGGTATCTATCTACGATTTTAAATATTTAAAAAAAAAAAAGCCGTAGTGTCTCGGGGGTTTAAAAAACCAGCTGGTGGTGTGCGGAACAAGAAGCAGGCCACTGATGGTCGCGACAGAAGATCCCAAAATACGACCAATAATGGTTTTCCTTTCCATTGCCAAAATATATGGCAAATACCGCAAAATCGGCGAAAAGACGGGTTGACAATTTCATCATCTTCAGCTTCCCGCTCTTCTGCCATCATTGAATAATTTCCGGTGACACTAAAATCTGACTATCTACCGATGAGCTTTCTATTTCCGGATGTAATTTTTCTGTGATTGCAATAAATCTGTCATCGCTTAAAGTGACAAATTCCTAAAGATGTGTTAAACAAAATATCAACTACCACTGACAATAAATACTGATAATTGAATATAATTGATCTTCTGATAATCTCTGATAGACATGGCAAGTAAATTTTCTCCAGCCCTGTGGGTGTTACGTACAAACCAAAACCCGAAAGTCGCCCAGGAGTCTACTCATCATGTCTAATACTGGCCGTGGGGGTCGATGTCGTTGGGTGATAATGGGCCAGACTCGCGATAAGCCACTGCCCTATTTAGATAATAGTCACAATTTGTCGAAACATGAGGATGAAAACGACACAAATCATTAGAAGTATATAATAACTGAAGGAGATAACGGGAAAGTCGTAAACGAAATTAGACGGGCATAAATCACAAACGTAAACTGAAACTTACGTAACTAAAACAACAAAACATGATTGTCGACAAAACTTTTGGTATCTGGGGGGAATTCATTTCTTTAGTTTTTCATAAATCATACATGCATATTATCTTTTCATTCAGATCGTTAAAATCAGATTCAAAAATCCACCCCGCCCTTGATTTCATTATTCCATTCATAACGCACAATTCATAATATCAAAAAGTTTCAACCTGCGGTATTCTCATCGCCAATAACTACAAGATCTAAATGGCCCGTACAGCTGTACAATCTACTTACAATCTTTCCATTTGGTCAAGATCTCGAAATGCTCCCTGCTCAATAGTATGTATCTTGTTTTCTAGCAATTGTCTGAAACAAAAAACCAGTTGGGCTTCGTGTAATTAGAGCCGATATTTGATATAGTATGTCTCTTGTTGAAATCCAGGCACTTTGGGTGGCAGATAAAAGACACTTTTTGAAGATTATTATTTTTAAAAGGTGATACATTTCTTGCGAAATTTTATGATTTTTTTAAAAATCTAATTTTTTGAATATCTTTTCATGTAAAATGTTTCTATCTTGGAAAAATTTAGAACTTAATTTATTCAGTTCAGGGCATTTTCTTTTCCTTTTTTTTTGTCGTCTACCCGAAAGACAATTTGAAATATCTTTTCCTACTCCCCCCCTCCCCCCCCATAAAAAAAATCTACAACATCTGCTTTTGTAAACGTTGACCAGGTGCTTGGGGAACGGGAACTTCAAAAAACCCATGATCTCTGACAATACAGTGTTTGTGTGAGAACATTGTAACCTCATTCATATTAACAATATTCCAATAATTCCGAGTTTGCTTTACGTACAAACTGTTGGCTGTGAGAATTTAATTTTGCCAGAAACCCCTTGGACTTATTTGCTTGAAGAAGTCACATTAAACTGATACATACTGAAGGAGTTATGTAAGCACATGTCGAATTGGCTGTGTGAATGATAGGAGTCCTAGCAGTGTAAATACAGCGAGATTAAACAATATGGAGTGGACATGAAGGTTTCCTTTAGGCAAGTGTCAAACACTCTCAAAGCAGCTGATTTTGCCGATTTTATATGTTTGGTGTTATAAAGAAAATAATGCTCTTTCCAGTTTTAAAGTTCTTTTCATTTTATCAGAAATTATGTAATAGTCTTGTGCGTATATACGTGCTATTGACTGTGTATATATTTAGGATTGATAACAAAATATGAAATTAAGATAATAAAAATATGATATGCGATACCGAAAGAAAGGTTATGATAATCATAAAGAAATGTAACATGGTGGGAAAAAATTATCAAGCAAAAATGCAACAAGAGAATTAAATAATACAGTGTTACATAACAGAAAAAGAAAGCATGTATGAAGATATATAAATTTGATAAAATCCACACCAATAAACACCAGCAATTAAAAAAAGGATAAAACTGAAAAACAGTAGATAACTTACAAAACTTTTAGATTGTTTAAATTCTGTAGATCATTTCTTCTGATCACCGTTATATTATTGCCTTGTAATTCTCTGGAAATATAAAAAAAAAATATTAGATCATCTCTCTCTCTCTCTCTCTCTCTCTCTCTCTCTCTCCAGGCAATGCTGTTACATTTTTGTTAGTTACATGTAAATTATTTTTTTTTAAATGAACTATAAGAATATATATACAGTATGACACTACAGTCAAAAGAAATTAATCACTTTCTAACTAATTATAGACACGATATTTAGTATAGCAAATTGTGCATAGTTATATTCACATTTTATATATATTATACTTATAGGGATTTAGAAAATATATATCCCTGACTTAGCTGTATATTTCATAAATTCTATATCACACGGAGTACCTAAGCGAGAACGTATTTAGACTACGTAGATATTTTAAGCTAAGTGCCGCCTTATTGGGTCTTTACTTAAAGACACTTTTATCAATATGTCTTCAATTATTCGCGATATCAAAAGCGATAGCAATGTTGGTTTGTTATTGTATTTTCGAAGGCAGGTATATGTAAAACTGTTAACATCTATTCATTGCAATTTTATGTTTATTAATACCCTTAACGGCTTAATCTCATAAGCGGACTGGGTGTTCGACGTTAAATAAATATTTAGAAGAGACTTAAAAAACAGGTTATCCTTACGGACCAATTCCATAAATTCTTACATTACGAATATATCGGCCAACCTCTTAAAAAACATTATAGTTTTCATATTTTACTTTGTTTAACATTGCTTTATTAAAAGATATTAAAAAGTCGAAAAGTCGACAGTAAAATGCATTATTAAGGTTAAACTTCACACCTGCTCTGTGAGAATTAGTGTAATTAATTCTTGTAATTAATTCGTGCACTATACTTACAAGCGCTGCGTTGCTGGAGGAATTCCACTTGGTATAATTCGTAATTTTTTATAACTACAATCTACAGTTTTTTGTTGACAAACACATTCCTTTGGACATGCCATTGCGGCAGTCAAGGAAATTAACATCACCACTACAAACATTATATTCCACGTAATGTAATCCACAAAATATAATTTTGGTTTCATCTTGCAAAAATGGATTTTTTCTTCAAATTTTATCACTACGGTGGCACAGTGCAGAGCTCTACATTATATATTCCACAGTAAAAACATGCATGTAGCAGTTGTAATATCGCCTGAATGACAAGGCTATCCCTTTAACTAATTTCAACCTCTACAGGTGTTCCTCATTCATAGAAATTCCGAATCTCCAATCGTCTGTTTTTCTTTCTACTTTCACAGTTATCGAAGATGCACGAACCTTTTTAATCTAAATTTAATAGATGTCAAATACCCTGTATATCCTGTGAAATTTAGTATACGGAATTGTTCGATACCGATTCGTACTCTACGCGCTTTGGGCTCAATCCATTACGAAAATTGGGGGTGGGCGGGATTTCGTCAACCAATGAGATGTCCTGGAGCGCTTATATACAACTTCATCGCATTCTTTACATATATTTAATCTAATTAAAACGATTATGTTCGGACAATGCTAAATTAGAAAAGAATTTGACCGTGACATATTGGTTTTTAAAACATATCAATAAAGGTAGCCTCCATGTGTTAATTGGTGACGAAAAGGAATTTCAAAGGTACCCTTATATTAGATTAACGGGTCTTTTGAGAATGATAACCCAATTAAATGATTGATTTGATAATATTATTAATCCAATTCAACAGAAGATTCTGTAGATACAACAATAAAGGATATCCACTCTGTGTAGGTATATCAGGTGCGCGGACACACCTGAAGGGGTCGGCCGCATGCAGGTAAATACTGCACCAGAACTCGGTGATTTATTGACATAATTAATTGTCGAACACAATAACTACACAAACAAATAGCATCTGATTAATTTTCTACTGACTCATTGTGACAGAATTGTTTTTTTACATGTTTTTTTTTTTCTAATTTACTTAAGGAATCAAGTGCCCACTCTTGCTGTAGAATGAAACTGCAGTTTCCAGTCTTACAAAGAATGATAGTTATGTATATATACAGTCTCTAAATGCATGTTCTTAAGAAAATCATACAGATGATAAATTAGAATAAAAATAGAGCAATTGTTAAAATGTATGTCCTATTGTATTTATAAATTCTATTTATAATTTATATATATTTTTTATTTTCTGCTTATTTTTAGAATGAACAGAGATGGAAATATTTTTTTTTGGGGGGGGGGGGGTCTTGGAGTAACCACGAGTTTTTCTTGCTTTGTTTTTTTTTTTGTTTTTTTGTTTTTTTTTTTGCATTAAATTTCAAATGTGAATTTATACAGAAATCTGCAAAGGCATGCAGTTAGAAAGTATTTCAAATGAACAGGACCCTCTTTTGAAAGAAAAATCTTGTTTTTTAAACAACCACTTTACTTTCGAAGGGTATTTCGCACAATTTCAAGTTCCCTGATTTTGAAATAATTTATGCGATTAAACGATTTATCACAGTGTTACTTGTATAACAAGGATCAGAATAAAAAAAAACCCAAAGGATAATCAATCGATGACTTTTTTAATATCCAGCTCAACTAACCTGTACGTTAACACAATTTTCATGTAAAAAAGGGGGGGGGGTGCAAATTTTTTATAGGACCCCCCCCCCTCCGGATTTTTTGTCATATTTTGTGTCGTATTTTGAGGACACTGTGAATTTTTCCTGGAAAGTTACAGGATAAAGATTTGTAAGAAAAATAAATGAAAATATATTGATGTATCAATTTTTGAAAGGAAAACCTTTCTAAAATTAAATAAAGAGATACAATGGAAATTTTATAATGACCATTCTGAAGTCAACTAGGAATTTGTACTTGAACATTGTCCCAAGGCCGCGCATGTTTCCTTTGTACTAACTTTATGTGTTACGGACCCAATAAATAACGACCGTGTCGCGCGAAACCCCATCAACGTCGCAGTTCCTTAGCGGTCCCATTCATCCTGCCCGTGGCCCGGGACTGACCGGTGGGAGAGTAGAAACTTCAGGTGTTAGGGTGATCATGTCATTAACAAAGGTAAACCCAGATCACGTAAATCAGCTCCCGCCTTCACACCTGTACAGCAGGCCTGACCGGTATGGTATTTACCGCCCCATTAAAACATTATTTATGGGGGCTTTCTTCTTTTTTCCTCTCCATACGGTGTAAATTGTACCTCCTGTTCACGCTTATCCTCGGACTTGTTGTAAATTAAGATCAAAATTTTATATGAATCATAGTTTATAGTATTTGTGTGAAAGTTTTCCTTTTTTGACATTTTTATGATCCAGAACTCGGAAGCATTAACAAATAAAGATAGAAAATATTTCAAAGAATTTATCTATAAATTAAGTTTTGACTTCATAATTCTGAAATACTTAAGATTGTCATTGTGTGTTACATATACATTGTTTTTCCCCACTGTTTTAAACAATATTTTCCCTTTTTATTTCTTTATAAAACTACAAATACTTTATAAAAAAACAACAACAAAAAAAAAAAAAACAAACAAACAAATGAAATAAAAATAAATGAAGAAATAAATCCGCTTATCGCGGAGTATTTATTGATTGATTGATTGATTTATTCTTCATTTTTTTTTTAAATTTATTATTTTTTGTTATAAAAAAAAACTTAACATAGATATAGTTTGCTATAACATATATATGTTTTCTATATCACTTTAAGATGAACATTGAATGAGTATTCTATAGAATATAAGTTCAATATTCTGATTGACTGCGCATGAGGGATCATCCCTTGGTATCCTCTATATTCTTAGCCAACTTTTTACACTAGTGTGTTGCTTTTTTTTTTCTTTTTTTTTTTTTTTTTACAATTATGTATATATATTTTTCCAGTATTTTATTTTTTCGAATTTAAATCTTATGTGGTATTGTATATCTACAATATTTCATCCTGATCCAATTTCAGACCATGGTGGAAATGTTACCTATTTTGTGTCATTAAAAAATGATCATATCGTTAAAAGAATACATGGCTTAATTTCGAGGGTACGTGATTGATGAATAAACATATCCTTCTACTGTATATATTAGTATATCCTATGTATGGCAATCATTAACAGACCCCCCCCCCCCCCCCCCAAAAAAAATACTTATAAAGGTAAACATGAATTAATCTAAATATACAATGATCATGAAATTAGTTAGAACTAGAGCTACTGTGAGCACTGAGCTCACAAAATGATACCCCCGCCTTCCATATGATTATAATGGCAAAGACCATGTTTTGCTATGGGAGACCTGAAATATGTATCCGATCAAAAAGTGAAATAGGAGGTGTACAATGGGACTATATAACAAAGATTCTATGAAAGTAACATTAAATTTTATTCAGGGGTATGGGAGAAGTTGCGGATAAGATATGGGCACCCCTCAGTATTATAGATAGAATGGCAGTGTTCTATGTTGTGCTATAGGAAACGCGAAATATGTGTCCGATCAAAAAGTAAAATAGGAGGTGCACAATGGCGCTTCTGTGAGAGTATCATTAAATTATATTCAGTGGTGTAGGAGGAGTTGCGGATAAGAGATGGGTGTCCTCAATATTATAGAAAGAATTGCAATGTCTATGATTTGCTATTGAAAACCCGAAAAATGTGTCCAATCAAAAAGTAAAATAGGAGGTGCACAATGGCACTATGTAATAAAGATTCTGAGAGAGTATAATAGAATTTTATTCAGTGGTATAAGAGGAGTTGCGGATAAGAGATGTGTACCCTAAAGCGTAACGGATGGACGGACGGACACCCCATCACTATATACCCCCATCTTTCAAGCGGAGGTCTGATAATCAAACTGTGTCTCGGGACTAGCCCTCACCACAGTTAAACCGGGTCTCTAAGACAATGTTGTATATCATTTTAACGATAAAACGTTCTATCTAATGACAATATGGAATGACATACTTTTATTTAATAGATTCTTTATTATATCCCCCGCTTGAAAAGTGGGATGGGGGTATATAGTAAGGAGGGTGTCATTCCATTTGTCCGTCTGTCTGTCTAATCAAAAAGTAAAATAGGAGGTACACAATGGCACTATGTAACAAAGATTCTATGAGAGTATCATTAAATTTTATTAAGGGGTATAGGAGGAGTGGCAGATGTGTACCTAAAAGCGTGACGGACGGTGGACGTACAGACGGACGGACACATATTTCTGGTTTCCAATAGCAAAGCATAGACACTGCCATTCTTTCTACATATGTAATATTGAGGGGTACCCATCTCTTATCCGCAACTCCTCTTATACCCCTGAATAATATTTAATGATACTTTCACAGAATCTTTGTTACATATAGTGCCATTGTGATTTTATTTCACTTTTTGATCGGTCACACATTTTGGGTCTCCCATAGCAAAACATGGACTTTGCATTATTAACATATGGGAGACGGGGAGTATCATTTTGTGAGTTGAGTGCTCACAGTACCTCTAGTTTTATGCAAGTGCTTAATATCTCAATATGACTCGATGACGTCAAATCGCGAGAATGTGTATTCGCGAGTGGATAGTTGATCAAGATTTAACGTGTATTTCACCAATAAAAAATGAAAGCTTATTATTATTATAACCCCCGCTTGAAAAGTGGGGGTGTATAGTGATGGGGGTGTCCGTCCGTCTGTCTGTACGTCCGTCCGTTTCTTGCGCTTTGGGGTACACATCTCTTATCCGCAACTCCTCTTATACCACTGAATAAAATTGTTACTTTCAAGGAATCTTTGTTACATAGTGCCATTGTGCACCTCCTATATTACTTTTTGATTGGACCCATTATTCGGGTTTCCAGTAGCAAAACATAGACACTGCTATTTTTTCAATAATATTGAGGGGTACCCATCTTTTAACCGCAGCTCCTCCAACACCACTGAATATAGATTAATGATACTCTCTCAGAATCTTTATTACAAGGTGCCATTGTGCGCCTCCTATTTTTACTTTTTGATCGGATACATATTTCGGGTCACCCATAGCAAGATATGGACTTTGCCATTATAAACATATGGGAAGCGGGGGTATCATTTTGTGACCTCAATGCTCACAGTTCCTCTAGTTGTATTTCGTGAATGAAATATATGGAGATAACGAACAGTATTCAAGCTCAAAAGTCCATTAATCAATACAAAATAGGAGCAGAGCAAACACGGACCTCCAAACATCAGAGGTGGGATCAGGTGCCATGGAGGAGTGAGCATCCCCTGCCGACCGGTCACACCCGCCGTGTGCTCCTTGTCATGATCGGGAAATAACGGAAAAATCCGTCGACAATTCAGTGTGTAAATAATGGCCTAACAATCTCGCGAAATACCCGAAATTACTTTTTTCTTCTATTTAGGAATCTACAGTATACTTTA